TATTTTATATGTATCATATGTCATCCTTACTTTTCTTACTTTACCCAGAAACGCTATTTAAACAGCGTCATGTATCAATGTTGCTTTTCTTACTTTATTCAGAAGCGCTATTGAAACTGCGTCATGTATCAATGTTACCTTTCTTACCACATGAAAAACTATAAAAAGGAAACAAAACAACTCTTTATTATAAATTGAATGCAGTTTCATTATAGAGACATTTCCACAGCAAATATTAATTTTTTATTTTAATACTATCGAATTTAATTTTGAAACTTTATGCTATCCCACTACTTTCAATCAGTAACCTATATACGAACCATTCAAATGATAGATTACTTGTCTGCCCTGGTTCTCTAGCTTATATTGCGTTGCGTAGCATAAAAATGTAACATGCCCATGAGGGTATTTCATAAGCGCAATCTAAGAAAAAATAGGAACACTATAACCTGGTTACGCTTTCCTCTTAAATGTTCTGTATTTTGTTTTTTCATGAAGTTTAACTAAATTTTGTAAAACAATATGATATATTGTTAAAATGCATTGAATATAAAAATGTTCTGAATATTTACATAAATGCTTGATGGTGGTTAGTTATAATAACTCTAGATAAACCAAACCTATAGCATATAAATAGTTTTACAAAGACTAAAAAGAGAGAGAGAATAGGAAGAACTTTAGAAGTGATGTTTCAAAATCAATATAAATACAGACTAATAATTTTAATAGCATTTCTGAGCACGTGTTTAGTTGGTGCTTATATTTAGGTTTTTCATTCTAACACCTTTACGTTGAACACGTCTTTATATACACATTTTTGTTTTGGTTACATATTGTGCATATGAGCTTTCAGAAAAATTAGTCCATCGAATTAATTTTGGGCTTTGATAATGAGACGTGAAATTAGTTTCAATGTTCGTGAAAGCAGAAACCACTAATAATGACTTAGGTCAAACAAAACAACCTATGCTTCTAATAGACCTCGCGCCAGTACTCGGAAAGGCCCATAAACATATTAACTTTAATACTAACAGTTTGTGTATTAACGACTGTGATTTTACAACGGTGTGTTTTTAACGGATAGTAAACATCAAAATCGTTAGTCATTTGAAGATAATTACGCGATTAAGTTGTAAAGTAATACCATTCTGAAAGGAATCTGTTAAGTCTTTGGTATAAGTCATTATTAAGTTTATAAAAGTAAAAGTTAGTAAATCAATTAATGAATAACGAAAATAAGGTTCACACCAAAAAGTTTTGATTGTTAAATCAGTCTTAGAAAGCGATTGCTTGAGTATCTGGAGCTCAAAATGAATACACAAATATATGGAAAAATGAGTGAAAATCATATTGTTGAATACCAGTAAATGGTGAATTTTTATGTTACTGTTGTTGGTGCTTTGTTTTCTAGAAATATTTCGCCCAGAAAATCACATATGCTCCTAAATACCTTAGAGACAACAGGAAATGATATTTAAATTATTATATAAGAAACATTAATTCACATTAAATAACAAAACCAGAACCATCGCCAGTTTTAAAAAGCAATTTCCAACAATTTCAGTCCTCACCAGCTCAGCTAGGTCATTGACAGAGAATGTTACTAAACGGATTTTGTTGTGTATGATTTGCTGTAGTTCTTAAGTTTTCAAACGCTTTTTAATTATTTTTTGTTACAAAGTAGACTTTTAGGCTATTAATTATTTAGGTTAATTTTAGTAGATTGTGTTGCTTCACATTTCGATGGGGTGAATTTCAATGTGAAAATACGTCACATTAGGTAACAAGGACTGACAGTGACAACAGTGCTATATTCGGGATGTAAAAAACATTAGGTTCAGGTAGAATCAAGATTATTATTGGTATTTTGTTTAGAAAATTGTTTGTTTGTTGTTAACCGCAAAGCTACACAAAGGGCTATCTGTGCTCTGCCCTCTGCGGTTATCAAAACATTACTGATGAGCCACCCTGAGGTATTTTTAAAAGAAAAAATTAATAATATACTTGACTTATAATCTAGGTTAAAATTATCCATTTTTGAGATTTTATGTTTGGTAAGATGTTTAGGAGTAAGAAATACAATTGTAAACTGTAATAAGAATCTAGGACAAAAATTGGAAATAATATGTACTATCTAAAAAGTTTAGTTTGTTTGGAATTAAGCTACACAACGGGCTATCTGTGCCCTGCCCACCACGGGTATCGAAAACCGATTTCTAGAGTTGTAAGTCCACGGACATTCCGCTGTGACACTGGGGGGCCTATTTAAAAAGAGCTTTGAAACAGATAATATTTGAGTCTCAATATATATATATATATATATCGTAGTTTTAAGTATCCTTAATGGCTTTGGGCGTAAAGATCATTAACTCAAGAAATATCGTGGTATACGTATTTTAAGGATAGGTATTTCGAAGTGGGCGTCAGACTAAATTTTGTGGTAAAAATTCCTCACGTTTTTTCATCATACCGTAGAATATTTCCATTCGTAAATAAAAGTGGTTGAAAAAAGTGAAATTAATGTGGCGCTCACACGCTGCATATTAGTATGAGTTTTAGCCGTATATGGTAGGGAATTTGAACACCGAGTAGATGAATTAAGTACGAGACTTAGATAAATATGTTTCCCGATTACCATTCCCCCCCCCCCACTCTAGTGGCTAACAAAATTTTAGTTATGCTCATATCTATAGGCTAGGCATATTTATTTATATAAACTGACTCTAAACGGTTTTGAATTGATAAGTCCAAGCTATCTGCTGAGGTAGCTGTTTCTTACAGGAACTTAATGTAGTTTTTATTTACACAGTGACTGGCACGGAACTATTGATTTCCTCGAAATACTAGCCTCACTATAAATCAGATGAAAGCAGGTTCCTTTCGAGCACGTAGGGAATTTAAGTTTCTGGTTAAAAATTAGTTCGTTTCACTAACAGTTTCGAAAAGGATTTTAAAATGTGTTTTGAGCTTAATTGACAACAAACAAGATCAATCGTTTCTCGTTGATACCACAAACATGTTTGTATTTCGTTTCGTTTCTCAACTGTACTTTAGCATATGCATGCGGAAAAGGATTTCTTTCTGCTTAGTTGACTGAAGCTTTAGAAGTTTTATTCAACTACGAAAAGCTTTTCAAGCTTTAATCCAGCATCAGTATAATAGAACTGACGTTTTCTTTTTATTTCTGAGAGAATCTTTAAATGGTTTAGTAGGAAAAGATGTTCTGGTACGTTGATGTCTTTCTTACTTTTCTTCTTATACGCTCATAGTACTTTCGAATTTCAGTCGAGAGACTTTATCAACAATATAAAAACTCCATATAAGATTGATAACTTCCGGATGAGACTCGGGACGCAGACTTTGAAGAATAAATTGTACTTTAAAGTCGTTCTTATTAAAAGGAATAGGACACATAAAGATAACACGTATAGTGATTTCAACAGTTATAGATGACGCTGCTGCATACCATCAATGTTTGTGTTTTGTACTAAAATCATACAATGCAAGTGTCAGCTTTCAAGTCTGTATTTTTCACTGGATTATTTCAATGACTATTTATATCTTTCAAAAATAGACGATTCGTAACATAGCACGAATTAATCAGTTATAACAGGAAAGCCATTCGAATGCTATTTTACCAGGTAGCATGCAGTACATGAAATATTTGAGTTAAATGTAACTTCAATTATACGTAATAAAAAAATTACGTTGATTATTAAAGATCCATTGTTCTAATCGTGCTACCATCTGATGGTAGTATAATAACGTGATTCAGTTTTAATACTTTACGCACCACTATCCAAATATAACAACTTTCACCTCACATTTCTCCGTTTAATTTCTAATTTTCTAATCTGTGATATACTAAAGTACACGATCGCAGTACCAATTATGTTGTTAAAGTAATTATCTTTCAGGGTGGCCTAAGGTCAAACGTTTCTAAATTGCTAGTATATAACTAGTGCAGTGTTATTTCTTGTGGTTAGGATCTTATTGTTAACAATGACGTATTATTATAAATACTAACTAGACCCTTTAAGCCCCTATTTTGGTTTTAATCAACAATAATTTAACATATAGAAACTTATTTCTATCTATTTATCCATCTATCCGCCTGTCTGCCTCTCTGCTTCTTTGTTCGTTTATTAACTGTCTCTGTTTCTATCGCTCTGCTGATTGGCTGCGTCTCTAAAGCTCTGTCTTCAAAGCTATATGTCTGTGACTTTAATTCCTATTTACGAAAAATAATAAAACATATCTTTTCCTCTATTTTAGAGTCTGTATAAATATATCCTTGTTGTTTTTTCTGGGTAAGAATGTTTCATGTATATGCACCCTTGTTTCTCTCTTCTTTGTGTTAGAGTATGTATAAATTCATATTTTTTTATTGGGAATTCTCTACATATAAGCTCAATTTTCTTCTCCTCTCTTTATTTTAGTCTCCATAAATACCTCTAGTTTTTCGGATTAGGAATGCTCCGTGTTTATGCTCACATTATAACGTGCTTGCATATCCATGAATTCAATACTGTGTCTTTATTTAAAAAAGAAAGAAAAGAAAACGTTACTCAGTAGGCAATATTTTATGGCGTCTGAGTCTTAGGCTTTTACAAAGAATTTCCAGACGATTTCTCCTTTCCTTTGAAACCATTCAGTAAAGCACCAGTCTTTTCTATATGTCCTATCTTTAATGGAACTGTCAGACCTAAGAGGAACGTTTCCGAAACATATTAGTGACAGCGTTGCAAATACCAGGGATATTTGTCACTGAAAAGAATAATTCCAAAACCATAGTGGAACATGCTGGTTAGGGATGCCGGTGGAACAAAAGTCTAACCAGACAAACATAGATAAAAAGGTCGACTGTGCTCTGCTTTACCAGTGTGTGGTTATTTTCTTTGAGTAGACTACATTTTCGCTTAAAGTGTGAAATGTTATATATTAGTTATTGTTCTATTTAAATCGAAACTTCTAAATTTAGTACTGGGTTTTCTTTACAGTATTGCCACCAGATGGCCCTACTATCCATGGCGGTCAACCAAGATATGACATTGGAGATATAGTCAACGTGACATGCAAGTCAAACCCGTCTAAACCCTCAGCAAACTTACGGTGGTTTATCAACGGCAGAGAAGTAAGTGCCTGTAATACTGTATAACCACCCCATCGAGACCAAACATTAACTATGAATTATGTTTAATATCATAACAAGCAAAACAGTACTCAGAGAGCAGTTAAAATGTAATTCTCTTCTTTATATAACTTCAATGTGAGGGGAGTTTTCTTTAATTATTGATTTTGGACTGGAAATTTTAAAGTAACATTAACGAATCGTAATGGTGAAATACTTTGCACAAACTGTATTATTCTATACAAACATTTTTATGATTAATGAAACAAATGTTATTAACACAGTTGGTTTTTGTTTGCTTGTTTTAAGCAGTAAGCTACGCAATGGGCTGTCGACGCTATGCTCACTACATGGATTGAACCACTAATTTCAGTATTATAAGTTTTCAAGCTTACCGCTGAGCTATTACAGAGAACCACGGTTGTGAAAACATTCAAGTTCTGTATGTCACCCCTAATATGCCTCATATATTTTATAACTATAACATTATAAAGAGAACCACGGTTGTGAAAACATTCAAGTTCTGTATGTCACCCCTAACATGCCTCATATATTTTATAACTATAACATTGTAAAGAGAACCACGGTTGTGAAAACATTCAAGTTCTGTATGTCACCCCTAATATGCCTCATATATTTTATTGTTTGTTTGTTTATAATTAAGCACAAAGCTACACAATGGGCTATCTGTGCTCTGCTCACCACGGGTATCGAAACCCGGATTCTAGCGTTGTAAATCCGCAGACATACCGCTGTGCCACTGGAGGACAGATATTTTATAACTATAACATTGTAAAATAAATAATTAGTACAAGTGAATGATTAAAGGTTAATATCTTTCAAAGTAATACAAGGATATATTTGCAATCTGCCCAGCGCAGGGAGGCTTCTGAAGGTTGTGAATCTTCAAGCTTTACTCTGAGCTGACGAAGAGCGCCACAGTAAGAAAAAACATTTCAAATTCTCCATTTCATCATTTATATATTTAGTGAGGAAATCAATCATATTTTATTGCATATTTTATAAGAATAATATCGTAAAGTAAGTAATGAAGAATTAGTGGTTATTAGAAAAGTGAACGTGCGAGGAACGATAAAAATAAATGTTTTGTAGCATGAAGTCTGATGAAACAACAGAGTAACACTAATAACCATCTGAAATGTTTCAATACGCTATTATTCATGATAGTTAATAATGGTGGGTTGAAAATTATTATTAGTTTTATAATGAACTTTTCTCATGTCGTTAAACTGCATTTACACTGGACGCGTAAGATGCGAGCCGAGCGAACAGTGCGAGCGCAGTGACACAGTATCCATCCACACGAAACGCAAATTTGGAAGCAATCCAAAAGACTAGAAATAGTCACATGACACGGACCATATACATTTCTATGTGATTTGATACATTCCTAGTTTCAGTTCCAAAAGTACACACTAGAGATGAACTATCAAATTGTATTATTGGATCAACTTACTGCAACATCCAGTGGTTCAGTGGCAAATTTGTAGGCTTACGACGTTAAAAACCGGGTTTCGATACCCGTGGTGGGCACAAACACAGATAGCCCATTGTGTAGCTTTGTGCTTAACGATAACCAATCGAACAACCAACTGCAATCTCAACTCTGTTTAAAAGATAAATCTTATTCTTTACAAATTCATTCTTTAATCCTTTTTGTTTACCAAGTTTTTAATTATCTAAAATTACATTATTATTATTATTGCTGCTCATGGAACCTAAGCAGCAATATCTATTTAGCAAAGGTGCAATACTTAACTTACACGTTAATTTCTTTCAGCTTAAGGGCAACTCTAAAACCCCGTTTGAAATGTCCCGACGACTATAGAGTCATATGATCACACTATTTCATTAAAATAAAGAACTTTCACTCCAAAAACGTCTGTTATGTTCAGTCTTGCATTATCGTTTTAGGAAATATCTTTATATATGTGCTTAATTTTGCAGTTGTACACCAGAGGATACCGCTGCAATTCGTAAATCAATTTTCATGATCCACGTTTCACATGCTTCCGTCTTTTGAGCTTTGTCAATGTGATAATCTTGATTTTGATTGTTCGGTTTCATTCAACCCCCCGAGGCGAGAAGGAAAAAAAAACTGAGCTAGGTTCTGTTTACTCTATTTCAGCGGCGCGGCGAACTCCTCCTAGCGGTGCCGCTCGAGCCACCAGCTTGTGGATGTTCCCAAACACTGCAATAATTTTAAAAAATTCGCCCGCGTCGCTCGCGTTCAGTGTGGCTGCACCTTTACTTAAAAATGATCGCTTCTTCATTGTTTCGGTACCGTACAGCATAAAATCATTTTTGGTTGTTTGTTTGTTTGTTTTGAATTTCGCGCAAAGCTACACGAGGGCTATCTGCGCTGGCCGTCCCTAATTTAGCAGTGTAACACTAGAGGGAAGGCAGCTTGTCATCACTACCCACCGCCAACTCTTGGGCTACTCTTTTACCAACGAGCAGTGGGGTTGACCGTCACATTATAACGCCCGCACGGCTGAAAGGGCGAGCATGTTTGATGGAATACGTACTTTGTCATTAATCTGAAAGGGCGAAAATGTTTGGTGGGATTCGAATTCGCGACCCGCAGATTGCGAGTCGAGCACCCTAACCACCTGGCCATGACGGGCCGGCAAAATCATTTTGACTGACTGTGTAACTTATTCGATTTACTGATTTAATGCTATAATAATTTAACTGTTAACGAGTTTCTATATATTTTTTCCTTTAATCACAAGTATGTTCTGAATATACCTAATACTTTCGTAAAAAACTAATTAATATATTTAAACTTGACCTATAAGTTACGAATTTTCAAACTATTATGTTTTTTATTTTTGTTGTTGTTGTTAAGAATATAACTATTCTTATGGTTACCATAAATTTTTGAAGGTATACACAAAACAACATTGATAAGAAAATAAGAAGAATTATTAAAATCAAATATCTCAATGAAGGCGTAACACGCTTATACTGAAAGTGTGGCCACTCTCAGACCGGCATTTAAATGTGCCATTTTAATTACGCAATTTCAGCTGTTCAAGATATGACTACAATTTGAGAGTGTTCTTTAAAGTTTGCATGTCTTAACATAATAACAACTACTCATAAATCTTTCATTATATTCTTTAAATAAATTCTAGGCACTGCAAGAATACGTGACAGCGTTCCCCAATGTTGAAGACTCTGATGGCTTAGTCAGTTCTGTATCAAGCTTAAGTTTTGAAGTTACTCCCGAGCTTTTTGCGAATGATGTATTTAGTCTTAGGTGTTCTTCAATTGTTGCACAAAAATACTCCTTGAGCAGTGAAAAATTAATTATTGGACGGACTGGCACTCCAGAATCACCTTCTAGTCCATATCCAGGTAAATATTTAGGCCTAACACAGCACAGACTTAGCATTTTTCCACGCTCATGTGAATATTTTTATTATTCATTATTTACTCCAAATTCAGGTAAATATTTCGCAAATTTACAGTTTGTTCCTTAAATATATATAAAGAGAGATATCTGAACTTGTCATTTACTCTGTGTTCAGGTTAGTGTTCTCAAATTTACTAATTTACTAAAGGTTTATAATGAGAGCAATATTTCCCAGCTCATCGTTTAGTCCATGCTTAAGTAAATGCTCTCTAGATTTATCATTTAGTCCACACTTATGAAAATATCTTATGAATTTGCTGTTGAGGTATATTCTGATAAATGTTTCTCAAATTACCATTAAGGTCACAACCCTAACTTTGTACTTCTCACAACTGCTGTTTAGCCCATACCATATAAGCATTTTTGAAACTCAACCTTGAAACTCTACTGAAGTAAATGTTCCTGTTCTTATATCTTATATTATTATACTCAAGTAAATACCTTCCAGAGACACATTATAGTTCAAACTTACTCGTGTAAATGCTTCCTGAACTCATAATATAGTTCATACCTGCTCAGTTCAGCTACGTACTATCAGTACTTACCAATTTATCATCTAACCCGTACTGGAGGTAGATGCACGCTGGGTTCATCATTCTGCTTATACAAAAGTAAATATTTTACCTTTAGATTAGATATTTGTAAAATGTCACATTTCCTCTAACCCACAAGTGTTATTATTAATAATTTCTGAACATAACTAATCGAGAGTTATATATTTGAACTAAAGTGTTTTGAAATAAAATTTACAATATTATAACCAAAGTGTCTAAAACCCTTGGAGCACGCGATATGGTCCACCCAACCTCCGCAGTAAACTTCAATAAGTATAGATAGGGAGAGTAATATTACAGGCTGCCTAAATTGTACATTTAACATACAAAAGAGTCTCAATGCTTGTTAGATCTTTATGTACTGTGCCATTTAATGGTATAGGGTAACTTGAAAGCACAATATCTAAAAATGTTGTCAGAGCATGATAAACATTCATTAGTTAGAACTGCAAAAACTTAATACTGTAATTGATATTTGCAACTAATTCATGGTAACTTTGTTGCAAATAACGTAAACAAACATGAAGAGCACCGTTTGTCAGGACCTAAGGCAAATTGAATTACACAATTGCGAGTACTTTGAAAAAACTGAAATTTACAAAACAAGTCAATTTGCTTTTATAGCAGAATAATGTTTCCAACCATAAAACATGCACGACCTAAATTGATTAGAAAGTAATATCATTAACGTCTTTGAATAGAACGTCCAGAACTTAGAACCTAATCCTTTAGAAAAATTTTGAGACAATCGTAAAGAAACAATTTGTAAAGTTAGACCATACCTTTCAGTTGTCACCAACTGGACAAATCTGGGAACAGCAATCGAGACCAAGTACCTGTCAGGACTTAATCGAATGCATTTCTCGCAAAATAACAGGAACTATTCAAGTCATAGATGGTGCAGTACCTTATTAGGGTAGTGATTACTAGTACCCCCGTTTTAATGACTACTTCTGGCTAACTACTGTATAGTATTTTGTGCTTAACCCATAAATACTATGAAGTCTTCTGAAATTTGGCTTTATATTATTGTTACTTAGAGTATTGGAAATAATTGTGGACATGACGTAGTAAAAGTGGTATGAAAGGCAAATACTGCGAGGATTCCACTTCTTTATCGCGTGAAGTTGAGCTGCAGAATACTATAGCCACGTTATTAAAGTTTACACTGTGACTGGTCGTTATCTTACAACTCGGGAAGTTCCAACTTCAGTATAAAGCCTATAAAAATATAAACTGTCATACTATGCCCAGCACTGAAATACCACATGATTAGTGTTTCAAATCGAAGTTTTGGCTGGTCAAGAATGCTCATTGCAAAATATAGCGCCAAGATTTCATGTTTCGGTAAACGTTGTATACAAGGCATGACGAGTGCACATGAAAATAGCACTTTTAAAGTCGAGATGGAAAACTGAAGTTATTCGAAAGTTATGTTAAGTATGTTTTTTTTAAAGATAGACGATGGTCGAGTAAAAATCTTGCTAAAGACTGTTACCTTGAAAACATTAAGATATGCATGAGCAAGAATTGATCTGAATGGATAAGCAGCTGCTCGAATAGTGCTGCGAAGAAGTAACAAGCCAAACAGTGAAATGAACAAAGCTGGACACTTGTGCTCTTTACAAATAAAACCAATTTCGAGTTGCTGGCAACAGTCAATAAGAGTTTGTTCAACGGAGTAGAATGGTACCTTAGTCATTGTACAATATCTGCAATGAACCATATAGCGAAAGATCGCCAGAACAAATTTGGGACTACATATCAATCAACGGTGTCGGTAATTTACACAAAACTGATGGCGCCTTGACTGTTTACAAGCGCAAGAAGATTCTTATCTATCTTGCCATAACCGTAAAGAATATTATACACCAGGAAGGAATTTATCTTCCAATAATACAATGATCCCATGCACACAGCAAATGTGGTAAAACGACATTTTGAGGATAAAGAAGGCGATTGAACACATGCAATAATGACTCGGCCTGCACAAAGCCTTGATATTAACATTCCTATTATGTATGGGCTTATGTGAAAACTGAGAAGGTCAAACGACGACCAAACAACTGGGCTGAATTTTGTGTTCTAATATCGGGCATTTGGAACAATATTACACAAACATAATAAACTGATAACCTGTACTGAAGCATACAAACAACGTGTAATGTTCTGCGAGAAAAAGGCTCACGTAAAAAATACTTGTGTATTGTATATTGTATATACACGTTTATTGTATAACTTACTCGCTTTTCTTTTGTATTTTCTGTGATAATGTTTTGTACCATTCATGTAATCAACATCTAGTTACCATCGTTCATTGTTTATTACTCCTGATCTGTATCACTGCTGTATTTCAATGATTATTTCCATTACTATGGTCTTTCTGTGTAATTTGTTTTTAGCTATAGTTTGTATTGCAACTAATCTAAGATAGTATTTCAAAATTAGGGAAAATATAACTAAATATTTCATTTTTTGTGACAAGATTTTTAATACATGTTTTGTGTCTTGCGCTCTAAATATATCTATGCGCCGCAACTGAAAGAAGAAATATCATAGGGAAAGCAATTCGAAGTTTTTAAATTTAATATCCATATTTTAACCTCCTTATATTGTTTTTATTTGGAAATATGATGATTTATATATTTTGACTGCATTATGACTCACAGGATTAATTTTCATTCATAATAATCTCTGTTAATTTCAGCGTCTGGCACAGGTGGGCCAATGATCATTGGTGGTCACTCTTCATACAGGGTTGGAGATACAGTGAACATTAACTGCACTTCTGCCAGGTCGAAACCACCGGCTGAATTGCAATGGTTTGTCAATGAAATAAAGGTGAATAAAACTAATAATGTCAGTAATATAAAATATTAGCCTTCGTATTCAATCAGACAGCGCCTTAGATCGACAAACATCGATTACTGATTTCTAAAATATAAACCAAGTGATCGTTTTTGGATTACGTTGAATATTAATGGTAAAAAAATAATGTCCGAAGATTTAAATCTGAAGTTACAAACAGTAACGTGAGAAAGAGAGTATGATTACCTCTAATATATTTTTCTTTCCTCTGGTGTACATTTGGCAAGTTTCACAGTATTTTATTTTCAAATATTCATTGTGTAAAGCATTTAATATCATATCCTGAATTTATCAAGATCATAAGACACCGAAGTACAAGAAAACTAACAATGTAAGTAGTTTGTTATAACACTGTCACGTTACCATCAAGAAATAACAAATTAGAGATTTCATCTAGAATTTCACAAGAGTGGCCTAGCGGTTAACGTGCCAGACTATAAACCTGATGGTCCTTGGTTCGCGTCACGTTCTTGCAAAATCGTGCTCTGTACTTTGAATCTGTGGTTGCATTGTAAGAATAACGGTCAAGTCTTAATATTATATTAAAGTAGTCTTAGAGTTGACAATGGGTGCTATTGACTGGTCATTCTCTAGTCCATCAGCTCAAAATCTGGGATGTTGGGTTTTGCACGAATTTTCGAAACAAACAAAACCTTCACAGGAATGAAATAATCCAAGAAGCTTTTTCGACACTTCATCTTAGAATCTTATTTTGATTTTATTTTCTGAACTACCTGTGATGTGAGACTCGCCATAAAGTAATTATTTTTATAAATCTTCATGTTATATTCTTGAAATATAACTGCCAAGATATATATGTATGTGTGAGCGCTTTCTTGTGTTCTTAGTTTATGATTAATCAAATGTGTGATATTCACGTATTCTATCCTACAAGTAATTTTCTTGTCTTTGTAAATATCATTCTAACAGATGCAAGTTTGACCTACCTGAGTCATACTTTTTTAAATATGTATTAATTTAATTAAAGGTGGATTAGTGGCATTGTATACATTGAATTCTCTGCTATATTGCGATGAATTGCTGATATATTTCCAGTCATCTTGTTCAAGAGTATTATTATTCAGTTTGTTTTTCTTATCATGATATGCCTTATGTCACATTTGTTTAGATTATGAAGTTGACAAAGGTGATCATGTTTGTATGTCTCTCTTTAATTTTAAATATTTTGTTTAAGAAATAAATTTTAAAGTAATTTTTGTTGATGTCGCTTTAGCATAAAACAATGCGCTATCTGTGTTGTGTCTGCTGCAAAGATCGAACCCCCATTTCTAGCGATATAAGCTCTCAAGCTAACCACTGAACCATCAGAGAACTATTTCGAACTACCCTTAAGAAGTATTGTATATTTTGTTTTGTTAGTACGAAATTGATATGAGAAAGATTCGTGAAATCGTTTTCGAAATTTCATCTATTCACGAAAGGTAGCGTGTCTTTTCCTTTTTTAAAGTCGTGAATCATGTGATATCAAAACATTTAACACAACACAGCTCATTGCAAAACACGCAAAGACAAAAGCTTTTCCATCGTTCGTGAGCTGAATGAAGTATTTGAAATCTTGGGCATGTATAGACGTCAAAAGACATGACATTTTGTCTGCAGAAAATCTTACGAATATCATTTATTATTGGAACTACAAAAAGAAGTCAGCTAAAGCTATATATATATATATATATATAAAGAAATAAAGAAATAAATTGCTTCAATACTATTAATTACATTAACTGCATTTATTGTTAATAGGCGATTAAAATCAACACTATAAAACAATAATGAATTTGATATAAAATAAGTATTAAAAAAGATTTTGGTAAAGATTCCTTTGCCAGTCCTAGTTGCCACCTTAAAGTTATAGCGTATAATGCCTGTGGTAATAGCTCCCAAATGCGTTGGGGATATTCCATCTATCAGACAAAACCCAAACGCTGATGTTAAACTAGCCAGCAGACATGGAAAATCAATTAAGGGTATGGAGTTGAATGCTTACACCCACAACATCTCAACTCCTATTGACCTTCACTGTCTGCAGCCAGTTGTGGGAAGGCAGTGTAACACCTTGAAAGTTCTTATAGTTCCTAAAGTAGAAATGAAACCACCATAAAATTTCTACTGTATAAAACGCCCAACTTCCGCCTTTACAAAAGAAATAAAATTAAAATAAATGATTTTAAGCAGAACTGCAAACCCTACCTTAATAGTTCATACAAACCAAACATCCTCCATTTCTCTTAAAAAATTATTCAAGTATAACACGGGAAAGCCAGTCTTTCCGTCTCGGTATACTGAATAAAATTATAATTTGAGATTTAGTTACTTAAAAGTAGCTAACGACTTCTAATGATACAAAAGGTATTTTCCGTATCGAAAATTTATATTTTAAAATATGTTAATATTTATTACAAAACATTGTAATTTTTTTTAATTGCCAGTATTTGTAACCACTATTTTTCAGTTTATCTATGAATAATACAACATTATTCATAAAAGAATTATCATTACTATAATATATAAAAAATATTTTCAGATGAAATATAATGATACATTTTAATATAATGTAGTTTTATTTAAGATCATTTATTTTTATTCTATTTTATTTCTTTTGTAAGAGCAGAGGTTGGGAGTTTCCAACAGTAGAAATTTTAGAGTGGTATATTTCTACTTTAAAAAAAAACTTTTAAGAACTTTTAAGGGTAGCTGCCTTCCCACAACTGGCTGCAGACAGTGAAGGTCAATAGGAGTTGAGATGTTGTGGGTGTAAGCACTCAACTCCATACCCTTAGTTGATTTTCCATCTCTGCTGGCTAGTTTAACATCAGCGTTTGGGTTTTGTCTGATAAATGGAATATCCCCAACGCATTTGGGAGCTATTACCACAGGTATTATCCGCTATAACTTTAAGGTGACAACTAGGACTGACAAAGGAATCTTTACCAAAATATTTTTAATGCTTATTTTATATGTATATATATATATATATATATATATAGTGACAACTAACTTCAATTAAGATATTTTCACGCAATACATATGTATCATTTTATCGAATTAATGACTATTTGGCTAAAAGTAATTACGCCAAATTACTATCTTCGTCATTTTGATCGTTAAAGCTTTAAATAAATTACAATTCAATGAATAAATGGAATGTTCACACTAGTACTATTGGAATACGATATATGATTGTATTTAATTAAGTAGTTGATGACGTAAAACCATTCGATGGAAGTCACGAATTAATTACTTTTCACATAATTGTATTGTTAAGTAATTGTTATGCCGTTAAGATTCAGAATTTATTAATTCTTACAGGCTCCGAAGTCCTATTTGGTAAAATATCCTTTATCTCATGACGATCAAGGATTACAAACATCTGTTTTGGGACTAAAATTTCAAGTAAACAAAGGACATTTCGAGGATGGAGAAATGCATCTGAAATGCACGGCCACTTTATCCGAAATTATGAACATGACAAGTGAAGAGCGTGTAATCGGGCATAATCACCAAAGCTCAGGACTTCATGCTTCAGAAAGTAGAGGTAAGCTAAGTGTTTGAAAACATTTTTTTCATGAAAAGTAAGAATGTTTTATAAGTAGCTACATAATTCAGAAATATCTTAAAGCCTATTTTGAAAATGATATGAATAATTTCGTGAAAACGTTGTTCAAGTTTCAAATGGCGAATTCTTAAGCTCGCCTTCACTCTTAATCACTTTTGGGACAGTGTACAATATCGTGTAGTTTACATGTTAACTATGTCGAACAAAAATAGTAATTATGCATTAAACCTTAATTATTACTAATTTTCCATTTCCTAAAGTAGATATGGACAACAGTATATCCTAAAGTCACTCCATGAATGTGTACTGTATATGGAAACTATCAATTTTATACAAATATAAAACCAATACGTTTCTGGAACACTTTAAAACCCAACAAACGATCTTTGCATAATTTATCTTACTAGTTGAAGTCCTTTTACAGAGCGTATGCTCTCGTCGCTGTATTCATAAATCATTTACATTTTGGAACCTCGTGCTGTCCACAGCAAAAAACCAAAAGATGAACGTGGATATTTATCATGTTTATAATGGCATACTTGAAAATATTTGATGTTCCACACATTAATCATTTAACTACTGCTGATTAACGAAACGTATTTTTCTTCGTAATTTGTCTCTGTTCTTCTCTAACTACTTTTGGTATCAGGAAATTGATATGAAGATACTATTAAATTTCGACTTATAGCATACCTCAGTATTCGTAGCGATTTCAATTTACTTCTAAACAACGATCTCACTGGTCTCAAGTGTAGCGAAGAAATCAGAAAAACTTGTATGTTTTATTAAACATCTTAAGTTAATAGTTATCAAGTAAAAGTAATTACAATACTGATATATTTTTTGCCATGTTGTTTGGTATTTTCAAAGAAAGATGTACACAAGATAAACTGATTGTTTGTCATATTTCTCATGGTACCTATTGGTTTGGTAATTATTTGATTCCATTATCTATTTTAATTCGGGTGCTTTAAAAGCTATATCAATTTTATAAACCTACAGACATACTCACTTTTGGCCATATACATTGAATAGTAAAAGACTGTTAAACCCTTTGAATTTTTGTTATGGATGGGCATCTTTGATAGACAGGAAACCTCGTCATCTTTTTTTCTATGTTAGTTCTTCTGTACCTATGAAAACCTCTTCTGCTCCTGGACAGGAAATCTAGAGGCAACTCTGGTGTTCCTTTATGTGTTTAAAAATGTACAGAACAACTGATTTGTCATTAACCCTTTGTTATATATAATATATTCCATCCGTTCGTTGATATTGTGCTGATGAAGTCAGGAAAGGATAATTACCATAGTTAATATCTAAGGCAAAGAGGTCATAATAACATCTATTTACAGGATGGCATTTTAAGTCAAGTTTTTCAGACATCAAGGCCAAAACAAAGAGCTTCACACATAGGGACAGACACTAAAACTAAAAGTGCAAACTACAGCTTGTGAAGTATAAATTGTGCTTTTTCAGACAGGAAGGAAAGCTCACAAAGTCGTAGTGATACACGTCTATCAGATAGTAGTTTGAATGAGTTGTGTATATATATATATATATGTGTCGATTGATTTTTAATTTGATTTTATTATCGTTTTTATTTTAAATGTTATCATATTTGCAGTGTATGACAACAGTGCTGAGACAATTGATAGCATCTTTCGGGAAGCTCCTATGATCATCGTGGTAATAGCAGTAGTAGCCATGACAAGGTATACCTCTTGAAGAAAATAAGGTGTTTGTCTTTTCCTCCAAAGTAGCACTTAGTGCTCTTGATTACATAATGGCATTGGGTTTTAATTTACCTAGATGTCTAAATGGCTTTGTGTGCAAACAAGATAGCAAGAATCGTAATTTATTGACTTTATAGAGATATTTTGATGTATATTAAAACAAACAGAAACTTTCAGTACGAAAAAGTACACGAACTCACATACACAGGTATACATTTATATGGATATATTATTCTCTGTTTTTTTTATCTGTGATCTTAATTGTAACGTAATCTTTTTCGTCTGCTCGTTTGTTGTTATCTTTGAAATATCGAAAAACTGTCCCTCCTGAAATAATCTTAAGATGTAAAGGAGAAAAAAGAAACATACATTTTCCTGCAATAGATAGCAAGACAGGTCTAATTTTGTTTACACTTCAAAAAAAAAGTTTTTTTCAGATCCTCATAAATTTTCTTACATGTATATATATAACTAGTGGTTATTTTTGTATGACTACGTTTGTTATTTTTTACATTAGCCTTTTTCATGTTCTCCTACACTTCGTATGTATCCTTTATAGAATATTGTACAGGAAAATCAAAACTTAAATGGTTGTAAACTTATTTAATTTTTGTTTTGAATTAACGGTGAACATTCCACTGATTCATATACGCCTTTGTATGAGAAATTAACATATGATTTGTCAACCTTCAACGGTTTAAAGTGGAAGTTAACATATAAACAACTAAAATTAAGCATATATTCCTTCAAATTAATGTACTATATTTAATCCTGCACACTTCAGTTTACATTTCATCAAGCTAATAATAGATTTCTATACCAAAACAACAAATGGTGGACAAAAGTTACTGTACAGTTGGCACTATTCGACTGGCACAGTTGGTATAGTTGATATTATACAGTTGGTACTGTACGGTCGGCATAGTTGGTATAGTTCATATTATACAGTTGGTACTGTACGGTCGGCACAGTTGGTATAATTGATATTATACAGTTGGTGCTGTACGGTCGACACAGTTGATATTATACAGCTGGTACTGTACGGTCGGTACAGTTGGCATAGTTGAGATTATACAGTTGGTACTGTTCAGTCGGCACAGTTAATATGGTTGGTATTATGTGGTTGATACTATTCGGTTGGTACAGTTGGAATAGTTGACATTATACAGTTGGTACTGGACGATTGGCACTGTTGGCATAGTTGATATTATACAGTTGGTACTGTACGATCGGCACAGTTAATATGGTTGGTATTATATGGTTGATACTATTCGGTTGGTACAGTTAGTATACTTGATAGTATACGGCTAGTACTAAAGGAAATATTACGAAGACAATTGAAACCAATTTATTTTTCAGAATAATAAACTATGCTCTGAATCAAACAACTGTATATTAACTTTTTCCCCCACCCTGTACAACAAAGCAGTTTGTTTTCATATATAAATATCGGAAATGAAAGACCATTTGTTTGTTCTAGCCCAACACTACATATTTAATAAAGTACTTATATTCATTAAGATAATTTCAATCAAGATATTTTTACGTGAATTGTTATATTTATCTAAATGATAACAAATTAACGGTAGATGTGGATTGGATGTTCGATTCTGAAACGGTTAATTTTTTACAAACGAGAACGTGTTTGACCAGCTTTTGTAGAATTTGGAATCCCATTCATTTCAAGTTAAAATTTCTGACCAAGCGTATATTGACAAGACTCTTAATGATTTTTTTTTAACAATTCAGTGGAATTAAACGTAATAGTTTCTACATGATTTTTTTAACAAGCCAATGTTTCCACCCCCAAACACATGACCGACTTTGCCGGAAACGAATTGCATGTTTTGTACGATTTAAAGTAACATAGTTTTTTTTACACAGAAATGAATTCAACTTTAGTTCATCTTTTATACTAATTTGATTAACGATGTTTGAAATTTTTGTATTTCGACCATAATAATTTACACTGCTCAAAAGACGGTAAGCGTATGAACAGTATTCTATTAGAGTCAAGAAGATGAATGCGATGTATACGGTGTTGAATAACGCAAAGTTACACTAAGACATGAATTACTATGACTCAAAGTCTCGAAGACGCTACTGTATAATAATCGTAGCATTACAAACAACTGATAACTGTATTATTGAACATTGTTTTGTTTTTTAACCTTTAAAACGTGTAGTTTAATATTCTAGTCTCAAGATGTGTTCAAATTTCAAACTAGTTTTAATTCTTATTGTATTAAGAAATAATCTCTATGGGCCCAGTTAAGTGTGCGCATATCTCTGTGTTGCAGATCTGTATACGTCTAATTTAAGATCATCAACTTGTCATGAAATCAGAAGTGTTTCATGAAATTAAACTTTAAAACGAGTTTATTGGTTCACTCTCAGTCAGAATTTTTATGTCTGATATACTGCATGATATTGTACATTTTGGAAATAACACACGCGAATATTGGAATGAAATAGTATATTCTCCCCGATAAAACTGTCACTGTGAGTTATAAATTCATACTTTGTGACTGTTTATATTCTGTTTTTGGAATATCTCTAACTACTACATTTAGCATTTTTTGTGAATGATTAAGCTTCATTTCAGTCTCTATCATAGAATTAAAACTTTTAGTATGATATAGAGTTTGCAGTGATGCTAGAGAGATTAGTGAAAGCTAGTGAAAGATTACAACTTGTTGCTTTTTCTGCCAGTAATTGCTTCCTGTTAAACACGCTGGCGTGGTAAATGTGTACACGACTACATTTCGTCATAATTATAGATTGAAATTGTTCTGTAAATAGCTCTGTATTCAATTGTCTTGTCTGAGTGTGTATATATATATATATATATTTATGTGTAAATGTACACGTTTGGCATAATGTCTGCAAAAATATAATTCTGTATTATCGTAAGTTGCCTTTTAAACTTATGTTTCACTGGTTTGTACATAGAAAATAAAGGATAAAAAAAAAGATTTCAGTATTTGTATTCTACAGACTGGACTGGTATGTTTTATTTTAATATGAATACAACGAATCATTTCAGATAATGATGTTTACTATGTTAAAGGTATAAGCAGAAAAAAACAACAAAACATTAAATTTTAATCCATTTTCCAAAAGTTTTTAAATATGTATTCAAATTTCAAGGAACACACTATCATTACGTTTGTACTTACTTAAATGTTGATTGAATTGATAATCATTGGTATTATTAAACAAGAGTAGATCTATCCTGAAATAAGGTAGAATATGGAAAACTTTGGTCATTCCTTAATTATTTATAGCAGAAAAGAGAGTATTTCATTACGTTATAGTGACGTCAGCAGGCATCTTAGCCTGATAATACGCAATTATAATTGTTTTAGAGATTATAGTGCTTTAGCAAAAATGAAAATTCATTTTGAGTTTGCGTTTTATTTTCTACAGCACCAAATATGATTGTTATCTACTTAAATCAAGTATAGGCATTTCTGTCTTGTGTATTATTAAAATTATAATATAGACTTCATTCTTTTTTATTAAAAAAGTGTATTAAAACTCTATCAGTAAATGCTTCTGTCATTTTTACACACACACAAACTCGACTTTACAAAAATATACATCAGTGTTAAACAAGTTCACCTTATTACTATTTATCTATTTCTAGACTAAAGTGAGTTATTCCGAATGAAAAACTTCTGGTCTTTTAAGGACTTGCAATTTTTTATTGAAAATGAAATTTTCAGTTAATTTTTTACTCTGCTTCTGACATATAAATCAAACCATTCTTAGTTTTGGGGGCAACAATGCAAATTGTAGATGGTTTGATAGGAGTTTCCACTTTGCAAGGACATATTATATTTTGTTTAAAGGTATTTCTCTCTATATTTAGAAATATATACAGCAAAACTTCCGAAACATTTTTTTCTTGCATTGAAAGAATTCAAAATTACTATTTTCTAGAAGATATAAAAATACAGCGATACAACCTTATTATCATAAACACAGAAGTTATTTTGTCCACTTTAATATCCATTCAGTAGGAGTGCAAGTGGTGTTTCAAGGTATATTTAAAAACCAGTAGGTGAAGTTACAAGACTACAATACTAGAAGGCTCAGAGAATTTATATGGCGAGGGATGGATGTCGAATTCGACCACAAGTAAAAGAGACTGGCTAGATGAAGATAAGGCAAAACTTGAGAACGACTTAGCTCAAACAAGACACGAGTACAAATGTGAGAAAATTCTAAATTAGCTTAGAACTATATTTCTAGAACTCTGGCACCCACATAATTTGACTAGACCATTAATAGAAATAGGAACGAAGGTTTTCATTACTTCTAACGCCACATATGATTGACCAACACACTCAACCAAGTATTTTATGATTGGTTCAATTAAATTGTTATTTTGAATCAATCATAGAATAATTGGTGAATAGATATAGCGGGGGAAGGGAATGAGAAAGATCTTGAAGTCATCGTTAGAAGTAGGTATTGGCTTAACTATGTTGAAATTATGTGTTTATGAGACTGTGGTGAGTGGCCCGGCATGGCCAGGTGGTTAGGGCGCTCCACTCGCAATCTGAGGGTCGCGGGTTCGAATTTCCGTCACACCAAACATGCTCGCCCTTTCAGCCGTGGGGGTGTTATAATGTGACGGTCAATCCCACTATTCGTTGCTAAAAGAGTAGCCCAAGAGTGGCGGTGAGTGGTGATGACTAGCTGCCTTCCCTCTAGTCTTACACTGCTAAATTAGGGACGGCTAGCGCAGATAGCCCTCGTGTAGCTTTGCGCGAAATTCAAAACAAACAAACAAACAAACAAATGAGACTGTGGTTAGGATTGTGTTTTCGATTATAGTTTTAGAAAATTGGTTGATGTGAAGAAAACAGGATTTTACGTGTTCAATTTCTGAATTAAGAATGCCTCGAGAATTACAAATGGTTGTAGCACTCGAAATTAAAGTTTTTGATATACCTGTTAGATGGGATGAGCTTAATTCCACAGTATTTAGAGGTCAGTGTGGGTAGCCTCTGGATAAACACTCGTGAAGAGGCGTGGAATGGATCTATGTAAAAGGACATGTCTTATGTGTTTCTTATACCATGGTGAATTTTATAGAAGGGTGTTATGTTTTAAGTTTTTCTAGAAAACACTGGGTTGGTTTTGGATCGGAAAACCTATAAATATGTCATGAATTTATAATAGCCATTATATACATAGGAGGAAAAGTGCGCTGTTATTTAGAGTATGTTATTCACAAATAAACTACAAGTCACAAGGACAAATGGCTTATCCATGGCTATGTTATCAATCAAATCATGAACCACAATAGTGGTTCATAATAGCGATCACAAGGAATTACACAAAACCCTAATAGAATGTTCGGGCAAAAAGCACCTTAAACAGTAAAGATTCAGTTCAAACAATACGTTAAAACCTTTACTGTTGACTGCTAAGGCTGTGCACATATAAAAAAGCACGCATCTTAGACTTACAAGAAAAAGAAAATTCATTCAAAATGGCCACTTTGTAATTATTATTCTTTTCATTATTATTCTCCTGTCAACCTACAACAAATATGGTTGGTATATTGCATCCAAATCTTTTGTAGAATAGTAAATAATGTACTGCAAAGGTCATAGGGGTATTGAAAAGTCAATTTGTTTCTTCTATATTTTACACAAGCTAAAGAATATCATAATTCTAGTGTAAACGATGTTAGCATTACCCCTTAAAGTTAGCGTTCTGACAAATATATGGTGTTTCTTTAAAAAGCTTAAATACAGGGTGAAACAGGAATTACCAGCCAATAAGCATTAGATGATTGTAACATGTAGAATACTCAATGCTTTGTACACTATACCATCGGTGTCTTTAGGGAGCCAACCCGTATATTATGTATAAAATGAAGTAGTAAAAAACCAATACACATAATGTTGAATATTATTACACACATACTCAGAATGATCACAGGAAGTATTATTTAAAACGATGTTTTAGACGTATATGTTTTATTTCAAAGGCAGCTTTTCTACTGGTAAAATTTTATACGCACTTAGTAGAGGTTGTGTCTTAGTCTAGGTATATATTTGCCCATTTCTATGCATTATATGTAGAGAGAATTTAGTTACACAGAAATTATAAATTCTCACTATATTCTCAAACAAATCTCCATGACAATTTCCTGCTGCAGCTTTACATTTTACATCTCGAATTAATGCGATTAAATAGTCACTAGCTACAGTAAATCATCATGAACCGTATCATCTAGCTACTAACTATGTTTATTATCATTACAATGTATAAAGTTAGCTACCATATCAAGTAATTTTTTGCCCATAGTTGAGAATAAAAAAGGTTAGCAAAAATTTGGAATTTCAAAATCTGCAAATAGGGATCGTAAAAAAAGTAAACAAACAAATATGGAGATACTGTAGACATTACTTACTCAAACTACAAACCCCTAATTTGGCTCCATGCTGTTACCTAGAATTACATTTGGTGGAGTCAAAATAGGGATTTGTAGTTTGAGTAAATAATGTCTACAGTATCTCCAGCTATATTTGTTTACTTTTTTACAATTCCTTTTTGCAGGTTTTTAAATTCCCAATTTTTTATCTTGCTTTAATAGTTTGCGTCGTTGAACTGAAAGTTCTTCCTTTCTCAGAGAATTTAAGTAAGTCAGTAATAACTCGGAGAAGGAAGAGGCTCATTTTTAATTTTCGAGAGAGCAATATCACACACTTCTCGAATAGGGGCTTTTGCGAAGAGAGAAATGGCGTCATGGCTGAGCATATAATCATTTAGGTCCAAATGTTAAAGCTACTTGATGAATTATGTTGAATTTTTATGCCTGATGAAGCCTACATATTTTGAGAAAACCCAGATCATAAACTTGCCTGGGTTGTAACTGAAGGAGTCATAGGCTGACAGAATAGGAAGAAGTAGGCATTTTATTCTGTGTGGATTCTGGAAAGACTGTATAACTGAAAAGTGAGAGATCCCATATAGTTCAGATATAGTTGTTTCCTGTTTGAAACTGCTGGCAATAGGAAGGGAGAGCAACCAGTCAGAAACACCTGCCGCCTACGAGATAACTCTTAACCGAATAGCGAAATTGGCTGTCAACACTAATAACGGCTGAAAGAAAGGAGCGTATTCATTGGTACATTGCGGCTCAAACTTTGAGCTTTTTAAGCACAGCTTTGCACACTAGCCACTAAGCCACGCCAGTCTCTATTTATTAAACACCTATTATTTATACAACGTCAATAATCAGTGAAACTTATTTCATGCCTATTCACACTGATACATTACATACCTAAAAAGAAAAACAGTCTCTGTCTCTCGTACCCTTATATAATGAGAAGAATAGTTAAACATCATCGACAACATATTTTAATTTATTAAAAGCAACTATTACTTTTATGGTGACTTATAAAAACTTATAACATTTTCAAGAACAGTATATTTCTTTCACAGTTAATGATAAAATGCCATTAAATTTATCCATTTGACAACTACTATAACAAAATAAGATTGAATAAGATAACTTTCCAGGTAAAAACAGTCATAAAAAGTCACCTGTTATAAAAACTAAATTTTGAGCCACACAAAATCTTTGGAAAAATGTCGACAAAATTTACTTACAGCAGTTATAACACAATTTTGTAATCAAATGTGCAGTTTATGTTTTCAAAGTCTAAAACTAAATTAAAAACATGAAATATTAAACAGTTTATACTTGTACATATTTGCTTTAGCTTCTGTGAATATAAAGATACCCCCAAAATTCCTGATTATAAAATATTTTATTTGCCTTAGGAATTATTTATCACGATAACCTGAGTATATTTGAAATAGAAACCGTCAATGGCGTTTGACATACAAAACCATAACCTGTATTTATTGTGGCGACATCTAATGGGTAGTATTGTTATTAAATATATGAAGAATTTACTGTTATTGTTGAAAAACACTACCTTTACTAAACGCGAAAAAATATCATCATAAAAAGTCAAGCAATTTTTAGGTTTTAAAAAATAAATAAAATATATATGAGGCAACAATAAATAGACAGCAGAGTAAATAAAAGCCTTCAAACAATTAGCATTTAATATTAAATGATTTTATACAGAAATTGTTGTTGTTCACCTTTTAGATATTTAATCAGTAATGCAGTAGAGTATCTACCATGTATTCGGTTACTCAAAATGGACGTTATAACGCCTATC